AGCGGCAAGGCGTCGGCGTACGAGGAGGGTCAGCAGGGCACCAGCAGCGGCGACGTGGCCAGCCCCTGCAGCAACGGCAGCACCAGCACCAGCATCAGCGCGAGTGTGTTGAGCGTGGCCGGCACCGCCCCTGGCGACGAGATATATGCGCTGCTGCTGGATGGGCAGGACAGCAGCAGCAGCGCTGGCGTTATCTCTGCCGCTGGTGACATCATTGCCGCGGCAGTGGCGCACGGCCTGGCAGCAAAGGACGGCGGCCGCGACTTTGTGGCCGGCCTGGTGGGACGCCACAGCAGCGGCAGCGACGATGACGTGATTGGCGCCAGCCAGTGTGCCAGCGCAATTCCAGGAGACAAGGAGAGCCGGGTCAGCGACGGCAGCGGTGGCAACAGCCGCTTCATCAAAGCGGCAGATTTCCAGCTGCGCGGCGACGCCGCCGTTCTTTCTGCATGCCTCGCCCGCCGTGCGAAGGCTGCGGCGGCCGTGGCAGCTGCAGCTGCCAACAGGTCAGCCCCAATGAAGACGTTTGGCCGCGACACGGCAGCGGGGTATCGCAGAAGTGACGCTGTGGTGGGCTGCGGCGGGGCGGATGCCGGGGCGCTTGTCGCTGCTGTGCGCGACGAGGCCTCGGTGGCGGGCGAGGTGGCCCTGGTGAGCGGCGTGCGCCCTGCGCCTGCTTGCGGCTGCTTGCCTATCCTGGGGCTGCGCGGCCGCGGCGGCAGGGCGGACGGCCAGGGGGGTGCGGATACGGACAAGAGCAGCAAGGGAGAGAGTGGTAGCTGCGGCAGCGGCGGCGGCGGCAGCGGCGAGCAGGCCCTGCGGAGCGGCAAGCCCTGGATCCACGGGGTGCTGGGGGAAGTGAAAGGTGGTATGAGGCAGGGGGTGCCGCGCCTGAGGCGCAGCCTGAAGGCCGGCCTGAGGGGCACAAAGCAGGCGCTGCTGCAGGCGGGGGACTCCGCAGTCAAGGGCCTGGAATCGGCAGCTCCGTCTGGCGAAGACGGCAGGGGTTGTGCGCCGGGTTGGGCGCATATTGGCGTTCGTTGCATGGGGGGCCTGGTTCCGCGCCCCATGCAGTTCTGACTGGCTGGGTTTCAAGGGATGGGTATGGCGCACTGCAGCAGCGCGGCTTTCGGCCTGTGGCTTTGTGCCTCCAACTCCCTTCTTTTCTCACGACAACATTGGGGTAGGGGTCTGGTTCTGTCACGTTCCCGCATTCTCTGGTCGCACCCGCATGCACCACACGCGACCGGCACTTGTTGAGACAACACATGAGCGGCCCGCACCCTGGTTCCGTTCAACCGCCCGGGGGTTGGTGAGGATTAGCCTCTGGGTTCCTTGTTTCAACCTTTCCATTGGCAGCCGTCCACACCGATGCGGCGGCAAAAAACACGCGCGCAGTGGAAGCAAGAATGCTCCTGACGCAGTGTCCTACAGTAGTCGCACCTGGGGCAGTTCCCAGCCGCCTCAGTAACCCCTTTCGCTATCTCATGCTTTTTCAGGTAGTTCGTGATGGAAATCATGTGGTGTGTTGTGTGCTGCTTTCTAATTCTCGCCAAAAGGGAAGCTGCCAGCGCCTCGCATGAAAATGGATGATTGAATCGCGTGGTCGGCCGCTTCGGGTGTGGGTGCAGCACCGCCCGCGGCCGACATCGCAGCATAGACGATCCCTGGCGTTGCCGAAGCCTGGGCTCTGGTTCATCGCTAAAATGTTTGATGACCTGCAGCAGGAGTCGAAGCCATCCCGGCATTCTCGTTGAGCTATCACTTTGCTCGTCACAAGAGGCAACTACGTCATATACGCATTCAAGCATGTGTTTGTGAATCACATATAGACCCTAGTGCGGGCAGGTCGACATCGTCAGATCGGGCTCTCTGACAGGGACTCCGCGGCCCTCGTGGGGCCAGCGGCCGCGGGAGCAAGCATGGAGGCGCTTAAACGTCTTAGCGATCTGCAGGTGGTCAGTCGCGTCACTAAGGAGCTCGAGAACCACCTGAACATAGCCGGGGATCAGGGCAAGACGCTCGCGGAGTTTGTCATAGAGATCGCAAGGGGCCAGAAGAGCGTCGATGGATTCAAAGCGGTGAGTTTGTGCGGGCGTGGGGTAACGAGGTGGCACGGTGGGTCCGCGGCGGCCAGCGCGCTGTCGTGTGCGCGCCACTGCTGCTCGCTGCACCCATATAGCCGTCGCCATGCTGGATGCCGCGCCATCGCCGCGGCAGCACGCGGCGCCGCTTGCCGCACATAAGCATAGCCAACGACTCGGATGACAGCAGGCCGGTGAGCTGGGCTGCTGCGGCCGCTTTTTTGACGCAAAGCCGGACGGCTCAATGACACGGTCTGGTCCCCATTCATTTCAAACGACAGGAGCTAGCGGCCCTCGACAGCTCCCTGCCAGACGCCCTGACAGAGCGCCTGTGGACCATCATCCACGCGCTCCAAGGCGGCGGCGCGTCCAACGGCGCGGCCGGCGGCGGCGGCGCCGGCGGCGGCGGCGACGCCAAGCCGCACGTCAAGCCGCGCCCGGGGGCGACGATCCCGGGGCTGGCGCTGTCGAACACGCGGGATTACATGCGGAAGCTGGATGAGGAGTTGATAGAGGAGGGGAAGCATAAGGAGCCCGATGGTCACGCGTCGGGCCCCGGCGCCCCCGGGCGCGGCGGCGACGAGCGGGGGCGCGAGCGCGATGGGCGGCGCCGCGACCGCAGCCGGAGCCGCAGCCGGAGCCGCGGGCGCGACCGCGACCGCGACCGCGACCGTAGGCGCAGCCGCAGCCGCAGCGGCGACAGGTCGAAGCGGCCGCGCCACGACGAGCGCGAGCGGTACGGCGGCGGCGGCGGCGGCGACCGCTATGGCGG